TACCGTAAATATTCCCGTTAAATACTGAGATCTTCATAAACCAAGCATCATTTTTTAAAAGCTACTTAAATTAAATAATAATAATAAATAGTAAGCCCGCGAAAATTATTGCCAAATAAAAAATCAAGCAATAAATAAAATCAAAGAACAAATGGCTGACGGAAATAACAGTGAATTCAAAAGACATGATATCCTGATAATAGAAAAGACTGCCGGAGCGTTAACGGAAATTACTATCACTTTAAACTGAGCGGAGGGTGAGTACCACATACAGTTAAGATAAAGTTGGTGATGGCGAAGGAGTGCTGCTGTAAGCGCCAAATGAATTGTGGATGAGCGCGTGCGATAATCTACTGAAGGTATTTCGGAAATTATAACGCCACGTTGACTTTTATGACATTACACACGACTTAATGTCATTTAGGTAATTGTGGCGCCTGATGCTTATAACATGCATATGTATATGTTCACTCTTAATGTTCACAAACACGCCCACACACAGAAAATTTATGCTAAAAGCAGATAGCAGCAAAAGCAACCAAAAGAGTGGGAAGGATGAGCTCCAAGTTACAAGTACTTGCCCTGAATGCCGGGCCACGCATGAAATTTCCTCACTCCACTAACCTCCTTAGTAGGTGGGAGTGGTACGAGGAAGATGGACGTGCGGTGGTAGAGGCGAAAACATATTTCACGCACTGTTGCAACTGGCAAATAGCATGAAAGCGAAAACAAGAAAGATTAGCAAGCGTAAAGTAGAAAATACATATGTATGTATGTACGTCAGGCGGTAGGATTTGTATATGTATTAGAATATAGTATGAGTCTTATAGCACATTCTTGCTACAAACTCATATTTAAGAAACTCTGTGTTTAAGTTTTCTGTTTTAGTGTTTAAACAGTGGTCAATTGTCAAAAACGCAGTGTAATTTTTTTTAACAAAAAGGCCGAATTTAGAAAAATTTTGTTAAAAAATAGGAAGATGTCTTCATAAACACATACTAAAATAGTGTTTAGGTCAGTTTATGGAAATTGGAGTTATTTGAAGTGTTTAGGAAACTTCGTATTTAACTTTTCTAGGTGGAGTGTTTAAAAAACTCTGGTGAGAGAAGATAAGCAATAAAACAGCAGTCAAAACATATCTCCAATAACAAATAAAGTAGTATTTTCTTACGATGAAGAGATGAAGGAGGTATCTGGCGTATAACGAAATATTCAGGGAGTTCATTCTACACAGCAGAGTTAAAAAAACGAGTAGCTCTGTAGGCTTAATAATCCGCAAATGCTATTCAATCTCTTTATTTTTTCGCTCTCTCAAACTCTCCGTAGAATTAACTTTAATCCCATACACCTTCTGTTATGAAGAATTAAAGATCGCTCATTTCTAAATTGCTTCCAAAGTTAGGGGAAACTAACAAACCGATAGCATATACTCGTATATAATGGAACTGAGTAATAATTGTGACAAGGTCTAGTTTTTTTAAATTAACTTTCCCAACTTTATCTTTCGTTATTGGCTAACTCAGCAATTTTGCAACAATAAATATAAATGTATATATACAAATGATCAGCGTGATGAGCTGAGCTGATTTAGCCATGTCCGTCTGTCTCAGCTTTTAAGGTATCGATCTGAAATTTTGCACACGTTGCTTTTCCCCCAAAAAGTTGATTATTTATCGAAACCGTTGATATCGCACCACTGTAACATATAGCTGTCATACAAACTGAACGATCGGAATCAAGTGCTTGTATGGAACCTATTTTATTTGTGAAGAGTACTAAAGCCTCGATGTAACCGAAGTTAATTTTTTTTCTCCCTTTTTGATATTATTATTATAATAAATATATTCCGCTTTTACATTTTTCAGTCGTTGATAGAATACTGCTTACCATATCTCCGATTTTCATACGTTGAAGAAAAATTTCAATTTAAATTAATTAAAAACATTAAATAAATAATAAATGCCGATAATTCGCCTGAAACTAATGGTCTTACTTTGACGCATGTACAAGTATATTTAAGTAGATAAACTACATATACTTACATAAGTAGGTATCGACAAACTCATCACTTAATGTATACTTATACAACATACATACATATTACAGATAGACCAACGCCAATTCCACTCAAATTTTGTGAAATACGCTCGTTGATGTAAAAATTGTTAATTGTTTATTTTTCAAATAAAATTTATGATTCTCACAGCGACCCATTAAAATGGCTAACACATTGACTAGGCATGCATATGTACATATTTTTTTATGTACAATTGTATGTGTGGGTTTGTACACATGTCGTTGCAACAGCTGAGAGCATTTGCGTAGGCGCAACAGTCGCCGAGGCGCCCATCGAAAATTCTGGCGAATGCTTATTTATTTTCTTTTAAGCGCCATTTGCTTGTTTTCGTGCACTAACGGTACGACTTAGTAATAAAGCAGACATCAAATCGTATTTTCCAGCAATTTGAGCACTTTTTCTTAGAAATTTTCGCTGCATGTCTCAGCGTTTCTTCACTGTTCAATTTGCCTTTATTTTTTTTTGAACTTTCTAATCAGCAATAAAATTCGTCGAAAAATGCAATTTATTGGAAAAATTGGATTTGAAAATCGCTCCCTCCTACAAAAATCAATCTCCTACCACAAACTCGTAGTACTCATAGGAAAATTTAGAAACGATTATCGTAATAAATTTCAACTCGCACATCTTTAAATTGCGTCCACTCAACAGGGAGTGCACACATAGTACAAGAGCAGTGTTTTTACAGACGCTGTTTACCGAGCATAGCGGGTGGTGGCTTTCCTTTGTTTTGGGTTTATTTTTAAATATTAATTATATTGTATCAAGAAAAAAAGTTAATTATGTTTTAATATTTTTTTAAGAGATTATTCGAAGATATGTTATAGAAAAAAATTTTTCTAAACCTACTTAATAACTTACATATTTTCATCGCCGTTAGCTTATTCCACGCGATGAAGCTGAATGATGAATAAATCAAATCAATCGAAATATTTCTATCCATCAAAATAAGATCCAAACACATTTTTCATACTTCCATATCCCTAAACAGTGTCAGATCGTACTATCGGGTATTTGTACAATTCAAGATACACACTGATATATGAGGAGTTTTTTTGAGTACAAGCAAAGATGAAAACAACTTTGAATATGCCTTGTAAAAGCTATATGACGACGCCTTGAAGTTTAGCGAACTAAAATAACGAAGCGTGTGGCGAACAGAGGAACGCATGTATTTTCCCACAGTAACAATGTTGATTTATAAATAAAAATGAAAGACTACAGAGTTTTAACAAGTGGTGTATTTAATATCTCATGTAAAAAGAAACTGGACTCAAAAATCTATTAGAAGAGTTGTTAGAAGAGATGTTACAATGGTATTGATTAGTTCTATACCGCTTTGGCAGTGAAGAAGAAAGTGGTCTTTCATCAAGACAGTGCACCGTGTCACAAATTAGTAAAAATTTCAGCAAAATTAGGCTTCGAATTGCCTTCGTCATTTCGTTTACCGTAAGCTCTTGATTAGGCTTATAGCACTTTTGTTATGTCCTCAAATCTGAAGAGAATACTCGCTGGAAAGAAATTTATCAACAACATTGCAGAGAATGGCCATAAGAAAATTTACACAGATTGAAATAAACCGAAAATCGATGTATCGTTTCGTAAAATCCATTTTTCCATACTTCGATTGCTTAGATATTTCAAATTATCTCCCTAAATCGATTTTTTGAAATTTAAATCATTTGCAAAGTGTGCCCGTGTTAGTGTCCTGGCAACTTGACCGGATTAGTATTAATTTAAAACTTTAAACGCGTTCTTATCGAAACGACATTTTCGGTGCGGTCGCCCGATACCTTAAGTTCTTATCAGTCGACTTACTTGAAATTTGGCCTGAATATTATATAAATATCTATCGTATTAACTAACTAAATCCTTAAAATTGTTAAGTTTGTATTTAAAAGAATGTGAAAGTGAAAAAATCTTTCTTTTTGAGTAACGGCAAATTTATGAAATTTTTTTCAGTTTTGTTGGTTTTAACGATAATGAAACGGTTGGTTCATACGAAATAACTCGTGACGACGAGGACTCGGCTTTTCCCCCTTCTGTTTCAAGACATATAACTTTATGGAAATTGAAGTGTTTTTTTTTTTTAGTGATAAATGGTTGGTAAAAATATCAATTCTTACTTAATCTATTGCAAAAATTGCTCGAAATTATAATACCTCCGTAAGATATACTTACTTGTATGTATTATATTAGTTTATGTAATAATTATCAAGTGTTGTCATGTTGGTGGTGGGAATTATTAGACTTTGAAGAACAAGCCATTTGGCCATAACTCTACAAAATTTATATGGAGATTTTGAAAGTAATATTATATATGTACATATGTAAATCAGCTAATAGGTAATAAAAACAAAAAAACGTTAGCTTCGTCTGTACCCAAGCTCTAATACTCTGAACATATACAATGTTTTACGTACAAGACCTTGATGCCAATTGTTCAGTTTGTATGGCAACAGTTTACATCGATATCTCAAAAACTCGCGTATATACAGACAGACGTTCGGACAGACGGACATGGCTAAATCAACTCGTCACGCTGAATGGATAATGAAAAATAATAAAAATACATCTCTGAAGACGGATCTGTGTTGTGGGAGCTTAGTATAAGACAAGATTTCAAAAGCTCGTACTAAAGAACAATAATCACTGCTATTACTACTAGGCCTCCTTTCTTAAACGAAATTCGCAATTATTTTATCCGCAGGATCTCAAGTGTGAAAAATGTGAGCTCTTAAAACCCAATTACTGACTTAATTTAATTCCACAATCTTCTAACAAAAATTTTGTATAAACTACTTACATATATATTCACACATCCATATTTACATTCATGCCAAAGCCAAACTAAATCGGTTAAGCTAAATAAAACCGTTTACCTCAACGTCAGTCCATTCAACTGTGCTTTTAATTAACTCACCTCCAACCGTATGCGCTCCTCCTTGCCGTGCTGATGTGAGGAGTGCCGCTGATGCGTTGTCTGTTGTGGGCCATCAATTTCATCCTGTTGTTGTTGTTGTTGACTATTAACGGCCAACTGTTGCTGTGTATTAATGAATTTACTGGAAGCACTTTTGCTGCTCAATTTCAAATGTTGTTTACCACCGCCATCCTTCGAACAGTGTTGTTGGTGTAGATCACGGTGTGTCATTTGTTGTTGTTGCTGTTGTCCAGTGGCATGATGATGTTTTTGCACACTGCTGCAGCCAACAGCGGCGCTGCTGTGATGATGAGCCGCATCCGTTGTTGTTGTTGTGTTGGAAATGAGATTGACTACCGGCGAACGTAACGGTATATTGTTTTCACGATCGCTCACCATGAGCAAGTCGGGTGGGGCACTGCAGGAGGATGAAGCGCGCACCTGATGGTACATCAGCTCCTCAGAGTCGGTGGTGCATTCTTGGACTGCAAGAAAAAGAGAAAGAGGGGAAGAGAGTGGTGAGTTGGGTGTTGTGATAATACTTATATGTTAGATTATAACTGTTTATGTGTGTGTTTTGCATTCATTAAATCTTAATGACTTTACACGCGCAGTTATTAAATTGACAACGCTGTAATAAATATTTTTTTTTGTTTTTATTTTCATGTTTGTTGTAGCCGATGTACATATTGTAATTAAATTAATTCGCCGCATTTCCGACGCCGTTGCGCGCTAATACAACAACACTCGTACAACTACTTTATCAACTGCAATAACTCATTTTTACGTTAATTTTTGTTTTCGCATTTTGTTGCTTGTTCTTGCTACTGTGTCGGATCGTAAACAATAAACCTGTCGGCAACTTTACGACCACAGTTGTTGCTGTACGCGACTGTTTTAAATATTTGCGCGAGTTATCTTTCCAGCGGTATCTTGCTTATGCCCTTTGTTGTTTGTTGTTGTTTGCTTTTGTTTTTTTTTTGTTTTGTTTCAACATTCAAAGTTAACGTCACTGCCAACGCTTCGGTTGCTGGCGTTGACGCTGATTACTGGCGGAATTTAATGCCAACTCGCATGCAATTTATCGAAAACAAAGGCTTAAAAGCCTTTTCTATTGCTGTTGTTGTTGTTGTTGACGCCACTCAGCCAGGCAGTTAATGTGGCAGCGCAGGCGAAAAACAATCAGCACAACAAAAGCGGCAAATACTTATTTACAACAAAAAATGCCATAAGAATTTTGTAATTAATGGTGATGCATGCAATGCCGGCGCCACAAAAGCGTTCCAAGTATTTCACCGCACCCCCTCCCCACACACACCGCTAATGCCAAACGCTGTGCCTTTATGGACCTCTGATTCAAGTCCACTTGCCTTTGTGCGCGCGCTCATGCGACTGTTCTGGTCAACATTTTGCCCAGTCTCAGTCAACAGCAGCTATTTACGTGTATGTATGTATGTGTGAATATATTTCCGTTTGAAAGCCAACACTTGAGCCATTTGCCGGCAACTGTTGCCGGTCGCTGATTCAGCGGTCGCATGCTGTTATTCATTTGTTGTTGCGATTTTTTGCTTCTTTCTTTCATACTTTAGTTGTTGGCATGCTACTGGCCGTTGTTGGCGGTGTTGTGCTGGTGTTTGCCCCCACTTTGCTGGAATTAATGAAAGCGCCGACAACTTTTATACTGACATATTGCCCCTTAAAGTAATTTATTTAGTGGTGGCGGTCGCTTTGAAAGCCGTTGCAATGGCCAATAAAAGAGTCGGACACCCTATGAAGAATACATACATACATATGATTATACAAATGATCAGCTGATCGACGGGAACTAGTCCCTCAGTTGTTAGAATATAGATCAGAAACTTTACCCAGGTTCTTTTCTCCCAAAAAGCTGCCTATTTGGCGGAATCGCCGATTTCCGATATCATATATGAAGCTGCTTTACAAAATAAACGATCAAATGTATGTTCTTACATGGTAAACTTTTTTATTTGAGGAGATATCTTTACGAAATCCGGAATGGATTATTGTCCAAGGCAAATTATTCAGATCGAACCATTATAAGATATAGCTGCTATACAAATTGACTTAATAAAACTAAGTTATTGTATGGAAACGTTTTTATTTGTGAAGGGTATTTTGGTTTCGGTAACAGCGCGGTTAACGTTTCTTTCTTGTTTTTATTTTTTTTAATAATAAAACGAAAACGTAATACATTTTTTAAATTTATTGTTGGCGACTTTCAAGTAAAATAAAATTTTCGGGTTTCAAACTACTACCACTACGATGATGACTTTGAAATTGTAAAAGTATTAAGCAATGGTTGCTCATATTGTCATATTATATAATATTTTTTGAACTTACACTATGAAGAGAGAGAGACATACAGAGAGTGGAACGAGTACTCCTGAATTATAGTGAGTAGAGCAAATTCGTCTAAACCATCGTAAGTACCATATTTTTCTTACCGTAATAATCATTAACGGAACGCAGGCTGAGAGTATTCCACTCATATTTTTATAGTAACGAAGTAAGAAGTTCAACTTTTTTGAGAGGAATCTAGTTAAATGGTTCTTTATTGCTTTAGCTAACCATTTCCAGTCACTTTTATGATTGTAGCAGAATAAAGCTTCTGGATTTGTATTTTTTGTTTGTCAACCTTATTGCAATGAGGTATTAGTTATTAGAGACCCAAGAGTATTTTGCAATTGGCAACTCGAATTATATACTCATTGCTTAAACGACTTTGCTAAAAGTAATTTCTATTAATGCCTATATACATATAGTTGAGTTGAAACGTTTGATAGCATTGCGAAATGCTAAATGCACACAGATAAATGATTTATCTAACAGTCGAGCCAAAATGAGTTGTTCGCCAGGCGCTGAAGTGGTGTTCAACTCTGGCAACTATCAGCTTGTAGCGTAAGTAGCTTTAATGAACAGCTTTTATTTTTTGCCAAATATCATTTACCAAGTATGTCTCCATGTAAAAGAATGGGTTGTCGGTTGACTGCTATCTTATCGCAAACGGCAAGCAAAGTGGCAACACGAATTTTTACACACCATTTTTCGCTACTTTATTTAGCAATTCCCTTTCAAATTTACCTTCCAGATACTTGTATGTATGTTGTAATGAAATGTTTTGAGATTGTAGAATGACAATGGTTGTTAAAATATAAGAATGTGGTAAAAAATTGGCAAGGTCATGTCGAACATGCCAAGTCTTCAGTGGTTACACTCTTTTGAGGAAAATACTAAGAAGCAATTTCATAAAAATACTGCGGACCTTGATGTTGCTTTCATATCTTAGTGAGCTTCATGAATTAATTACTTGTAAATGAAAAATGGCAACACCCACTTCAATTCTTCTCCACAATAATATACACCAGAACCGGATAGAAATGCAAATAAAATGTCATGGTGGCCTAAGTATTTGAAAAATTTTCCAAAACCACCTGCTACCTCAGCTAATCACCATTCAAAAACTCATTGGATTTAACAAAGCTCCTAGGCTAGCAAATATTTAGCTACCCAATTTCTATAAATTGAAATATTGGGATCCGAGGAAGGTTCCCGTCTCAAGCTCTTAAGGATAGGTATTTCCAAAGGTGATGTTCCAAAGTTTTATCATTATCTGCTTATGCTTTGCATTCTGCCAATTACAAATTTACTGAAGGTGAAAACTCAGGGATAAGTACCCATGTTATAATAACCACACTACCTCAAACAAAGTTTTAGGCACTCCTTATACTGATGGTACTCCAAGACCTGATCTTCTAACATGCATTGCCTGAAGCAACGTTTGTAGTCGCAGAACGGTCGTGTGAGCTGACAAGTAATGGTAATTGTGTTCCCAGCTTGACGCTCTGTTGAACTCATTCGTTTTTTCTGTTCTTCTATAGCACTATGGTTGGGTTCATCAGCAGTTCGTTTGGAGATGATTTTTGTGAAATTGATTGGGAGGATGACTGATGTTTGACAAGACTAACGGCCTTTCTTGAAAATTGGCAAACATAGTTAAAGATAATTTTCGAGGCATGTGTCGGGCAGACTTAACTTTGTTTCAATCAAAAAGCGAAAGTCATTAAATAAAAAATAATTCATATGGACAGTTAGAGAGTGGAATTTATGTAATACTTTCATTGAATACACATTGACAAGAGTCCCATACATACTTGTATGTACATATAATCCAAAACAACTTAAATAAGCCATAAATACTTCTGATTTTCCCAACTGGCATCTATCGGTTCTTAAAACGACTCAAATGATCGCTTGTTTGCACATTTTGCCTTATATTGCTTATGTTTGCGTGAGTGCCTATATGTTTATTCCTGAACCTAAAAGCAAATCGCGTGCTACTCTGAAAACTCTGGCGCCAAAGCGAGAGTAAATATGTCGAATAATCTGTCTACACAAAGTCTTTAAAACTTATAATTTTCGTTGCAATTTGCATACACACATGCATATTCATGTATTTCTAGGCTTTCTTTTTCCCCTCTTCCTTCTGTTGGCCGAATGTTACCTTTATTTATGCGCTCGCTACAATAACTTTGCTTCTCAAGTTCACAATGGAATTTGTTTATCCAATAAACGTCTATACTAAGCGGTGAAGAAGTTAAAATGCAAAAAAGATAGCTAACGAGTTATGATGAAATAAAGTCACTATATTTTAATGGACTTGTACATTTGTATTTTATATGTGACTGATAGTGTGTTAAAGTAAAGATGACAACAACTTTTGGAGCTGCTCAAATAATATTTAGGACGCTATGGAGGACGGATTTATTTTCTTTGTATTTTCTAACCTAAAATCTCAATTTTCAAAATATTCGAACAAAATTCAGCACAGCTTTTGAGTAAATTAAAAATTAGTGAGTTAGGGATTTTTTAGAGATGTAGAATTTCCTATATGGATAGCTGTCAAATCAACTGTCAAAGTAAACACATGTTTTTGACTTTTATGTTTGAAGTAGTTTGGAAATTTTTTTAAAAATTGTGAAAATTTATTTAACTTTATCTCTCCGCAGAAATCTTAGAGAGCTCATAGAAAGAGAAAAAGAGAATAATTCAAATTGTAATTTTTGTAATAGAGAATAAAAGTCATAAACCACTAAGTAACCAGAGACACCTCCACTCAATAAATTCTATGAAATTCAATGAGAGAGCATCATACTTGTGTAAACAGCAATACAATTACGATTATGTTTTTAAAAAATGGCATATTGTTCCATAGATTTCTTATGTTTATTCTAAAATTTTCTTATATTATTTGAAAACTTAAAATGTATATCGGTTTGAAGGTTAAAATGACATCTGATTAGAGGCGCCAGGGTCGTTTTGTAACTGTTCTGTCGATCAAACTGATAACAGAATTCATAATTGTAACATAAAAATACTCACTGCTGCTCTGAAAAACTAATAATTCTGTTTAAACTTCTAGCTGATTGAGGGATTACAGGCTATCAATTAATACTTTTTTATGATT